TTTTTTCCCCCCCCCCCCCCCCAAACTGTCCCGCTTTCTTAGACGACCCCCCCCCCCCCCCCACACACACACACACACCCAGAGTGAGATAGTTTATGGACTGCCCCTCACACTTTTAACACATCCCCCAAAAAATATATATTTAAGAACTGTGGAAAATACGATTGTACAAATTTAATAGAAGGTCCCTTAAAAATTAGAAAATGAATTCTGTACTTATTAGTTTCAACGTTTTTCCCCAATATTAACATAGTAAAATATTTATATAATGATATCTGTTTACATAGCCTTCATTTGCCTTAGCACAGTCAATAATAAATAATATCCCTCACACTGGCTATAATTACTATAAAGACTGCAACTTTAACTGTTTACTCAAAATAAATTACTGATATTAGTGACATTAGTAGGCATAGAAATAGTTTTTAAAATATCATGTAATAATACTAATCTCTAAATTTAATATAAAATTAAAGCAGCTTCCGGGGTAATCTTATTAATAAACCTGCCATAATATTTAATAATTAACCTAATTTAATTAAATAAAATACTTGATTAAGGTATGACAAAGACATGATAAGACTTGACAGGACACATTGATCTTTACTTTACTGGTACTGACATTACTAGACTAGACATTAGGGTTAGTATTAGCAGATGACGAACGAGCGTTAGATAAGTTTATAGATACGCAAATTAAAAACAATTTATAATATGAATACATGTTGCATCGGAAATTTGCAGTTTAAGTTACACATTTTATCATCATGTACTAAAGGATTTCTTTTATCAAGGGAACGCTTTTGTTACTCTCACTTTATTTCCAATATTTTTTTAAAAATGGTATCCTAACGCCACTTGCCATCCTGGCAATGAGAAAAACATAATCTCAAAGGATACAACTGTGAAAATTTGGCCAATAGTTGCACATTACTGTTTGCAAAGTTGGAGCCGCGACCATTACGTTGGTGGGTGTCCGAGCTCCATCAAACCTGTCAACAATTTCAAGCAGGATTTATCATTTCCTTAAAAAATGAGTGATACTAACAATCAGGGATCTCAATCCCAGCATATTCACTATCACGATCCAAATGCGAAATTTGATCCTCCAGAACGTTTGATTAAAAATGCTCATATCAAGAGCTTTACTCAATATCAACAAATGTATGAACAATCAATCAACGACCCAGAACTTTTCTGGAGTCAAATTGCAGAGCAGTTTCATTGGGAATCTCAGTCATCAGGTCAATTTTTGGACTATAATTTCGATGTGAGAAAGGGACCAATATTTATCAAATGGATGGAAGGTGCTAGGACTAACATTTCATTTAACATGCTTGATCGAAATGTGGAAAAAGGTCTTGGAGATAAAGTAGCCTTTTATTGGTAGGCACACGTTGTTTTGTTTACTTTTAAATTACACAAATAATTTTTTTTTTAAAAGCAAGGAAACAACTTGGAAATATGATGAATTGTAGTCAGAATTATCACATAAGAAAGGATTAAGAAGGCCTAAATATTGTAATTTAATAAAATAAGCCTTAAATTATTGCCCCTATGCAAGCACTTTCCGCCATCCTTCTTTTTTATTCTGTGCTGTACCCCTTGACTAGACATTTTTATTTATGATTACCCTCCTCCATTCCCCCCACTCGTCCCTAAAAAAAGTATTAAAAATAGATCAGTTAAATTATCAAATGAAACGGATAAAGCTAATGACATTTATTAGTTGCAGGCTATAGATTTTTGGCTTTTATTTTCTAGTTACACAATATTTTCATTTCTTTTTTTACAAAACATAGTGAAAACGAAACTCAAAAAAATAAATTTTGCATTGTAATATTTAGTCATGAAATGAAATGAGGAAAAAATAAAAAAAACTATCATCAGACTTTAAAATATGTTATACATGGTTTTCATTATTGTAATTAATTTTATTAGAAATATGTTTTTGTGGATAAAATTTGCTAAATATGCAGCTAAATATTGAAATAAAGCTTCTCGTAAATGAATAGGTGTTAAAAAAACAAAACTTGTGATGTTTCCCGCCATTATCAAAATAATTTTTGCATACCCCCAAAATGGTCCACCACACACCAGATGCCCTAAGCTATAATTGGTTTGAGGGAATGGTGGAAGTATAGGGCATATACTTAGAGTTAGCCTTTAATAATTTATATTTTTTAGGGCCAAATAAGTTAAAGCTTATAGGTTCATTTTCATAGACATATATTTATATATTGTGATATATAATATAATAGGGATATATTGTGAATTGCTTATTTACTTATAATAAAAATGGATAGCATAAACCTGGGGGTCGCAAGACCTTTTCACAGGGGTCACCTACGACCATCAGAAAACACATATACTCAACAGTTCTGAAGTCGCCACGAAAATAAATTTGTCTTTGGGGGTCGCCACAACATGAGGAACTGTATTAAAGGATCGCGTCATCAGGAAGGTTGAGAACCACTGGCCTAAACTAATAGTACTAATACTAAAATAAATCATATATGCTTGCCCTGAGGCACACCGTATTGTTGTTTTGTTGACTATTATATTTATATCCAAATGGTAGTGATTTGGTGGTTATTCCAGGTGGTGGCAATATGAAATAGCCGGATGAAATGGTTTTCTTTACACAGTAAGGGGCCATCCTTGAAAGTGACACAGCACGTCTGGAGAGGGCACTATGAATTTGTGAAGATGTTTGATAAAAGTGGCTAATTTGTGTCACAAATTGGGGGTGGGGTTGTGCGTTATAATTTGGCCACCAAAACAGCATGACATCATTTATATGTGGCCCCTAAGGCAGTTATTCTTGCAAGTATCAACTTTCATAGTTTAGTGATATTTAAGTCATTAAAAAGTTTAATAGCCATTTTATGTTTAAAATGCTTTGAAAGTGAGGCAAAATGCTATTACATTTTTGGGTTTGAAATATTAACATAATTGTTATAAACTGAAATGATGAGCTGAGTGCAAGTTTCTTTTGTGCACTAAAACAAAAATAAGAATGTATATCATTCATAACATTCTTTATCTGTACATTGAACCAGAAAGAATAATAATAGTCAATAAATAGGCCTAGGCCCTTTATTGGTAATGAAAAATGTCTTTCCCTATTACTCCATTTATTATATAGGCCTATAAGTTATAAATTATAAACTTGAACAATATCTCCTATTAATGTGAATGTTACTCTGAAGGTATAATTTAAAATCTAATATATATACATCATAAAATGTTTTCAATATTTTCGTATTTTGTTAGTTTAAATAGAAAAATGTTAAATGCATACCTTGAAAGGTAATTTGGTTGGGTGGCAGAGTTAATAAGACAAAAAAAAAAACAATTTTCTGACAGTCAAACGCTATAATCAATGATGTTAATAGCCAAATGTGCCCATCACTCCTCCCCAACTTGTCAAATAAATAGCAAAATAGCATGCAAAGTTGAATGTACAGGGCTTCTTATTATAAAACATAGCAGGCCAACAAAGAATTGTAATTGAAATAGTTTGATATATTTTGAAGAAAAAAAATAATTGTTTTTGATAAGTACTATTTATATGTATTGCAGTACGGTATCACAAACTAGACAAGATAGAAAAGAAACAGGAATGAAAGAAAAAGTATTTTTGCACAAAAAAAATCTATTTTTGCTATTTTAGGGAAGGAAATGACCCAGGTGACCATGGCAAAATAACATATCAAGAACTTCTTGAAAAAGTCTGTATGTTTTCAAATGTTCTGAAAGGCTTAGGTATGTCACTAAAGTGTGCAAATAGATCTTTTCTCAATTATACAGTTATATGAAATACATTATATATTATGTTAATACAGTTATTGCTGTTTAGTCTTAGCTAATATAGTTTTTTTGACGAAGAAAAAGGTGGTGTGGTTGCAGGGTTGCCAAATCAATGAAATGAAATTTTCAGACAAATAATTTTAAATCTCCACAATTTTTACAGACAAAAAAATATTGACATTATTTAATAAAATGAACGTTTAGAAACTATGATGCTAAAAGAGTATTTAAATATCCATATAACTGTGATTGTACCACTATATTTCATATAAAACATTAGTTATGTTATGGCTTTCCCTTCAGTGTTGAATTTCTCCTGATTATTTAAGCAAGCAAGAAGTCATCTCAAACTCGGAGATTTCCCATATTTTTCTTTTCAAAAGATTTTTGTACGAAGACTCCTTTTTTTACTGTCATCCTAAAGTTTTTGCAGACTAATATGAAAAACTCATTTTAGGTCAAATTTTTGGCAACCCTGGGTAGTAGTCGTGATTCTAAATTAAAAAAATCATTGAGGCTCTGTTTTTTGCAGTTTTATCAGTTTTTTTATTAAGTTTTAAAGTTAATATATATTTATGATTTCAAGTTTTAAAATTTTCAAAGTAAAAATAACTAAATTCTTAAACAGCTCTTATTATTGGCTACTTCAGTGGTCAGAAAACTCCTTAGTCAAAAGAGGCAAAAATCAGCAGCAGGATGATTAAAAAAAAATTTGAGACCCAAATTTATTTTCAAGAACCATGTTTTTCTGAGTCAAAAACAATTTGTCGCCTGCTCGCAGAGCTGCACATAGGTCGCTGAAGAGCCGCGAGCTGCAGTTTGCCGACCACTGGGTTACCCCAATAATAAGCTTTAAACCTCTTTATTAGAATTACAATTTTGCTAATCAAAACTAATCAAATGGCCATATTCATTATTGTATCCTTTATTTGTCACAGGTATCAAGAAAGGTAATAGGGTTGCAATTTACATGCCCATGATTGTTGAGTTGGTCATTTGTATGTTGGCTTGTGCTCGCATAGGAGCAGTGCATTCCATAGTGGTAATTCTTTTTAAAATTCTCTAATAATATACAAGCTGCACCTTATAGCATCTATCCTTGTCTCCGTTTTAGCATCTGCACTAAAGCATTTTCTCATTTATACATTGTTGAGTTAGCCCTTTGCAAACCTGTTACCATTCTGAGCTCAGATTTATTGTTCTGATGACTTATCTTCTTCCTTTCATGTTACACTAAATATTTGTTCCTTTAACAAATTAGTAAAATCCTCCTTAGCAGGATTTTTATTGTAAAAATTGTCAGAAATTTTATTGCAAAGGAATTTTGTAATGCTTTTTAATAACAAGGTTCTAGATCTAGGAAAATAGATTTTAATAAGTTATTTCCATTTAATTTTTTAAAAATAATTGAGATGTAAAAAGATTGTTAACTTTATTAAACTGACTGAAAATGTCATTTAAAAATTATTAAATGTATAGATTTTACTAGAAGACCTTTTTTAAAAAATCCCTCAATGATCTCTCAGAAATCTGAGAAGAAAAAGACTATGGATCAATGCTTTTTATCTTGGCTTACTTACTCAGCTGACTAAATGGGCTGACATAGTTGAATTAGGTCAAAGTCTGATATTCCCTATGCTGATTTTTTTTTGATGACTCATGAATTTATCATGCTACTATTACTACCTATAGCATACTTAAATTATTAAATGTCACAGTGGGCAAGTCAAGGGGGGGGGGGGGTTAAGAACTTTTGACTTTCCTTGGGGAGATTATAATTTAGTGGGATCATTTTGAACATAATTACCTGCTGTGATATGAATATACATGTTAAGCAAACCTTTATTGAAATAGAAGCATTTAAAAAAAAATTTAATTCTCATTTCGTAGTCCTGCATATGCTGGCCACTTTTTTATTTGTTAAACTCATTAATTCTGATTATAAAATAAATTTAAAACATCAGTGACCTATATAAAAGTAAAGAGGAGACACACCTGTACAAATATATCGGTCATTGGAGATAAACTTTGTAGGCTAATTTAAATTAAAGTTCTTACTTGAGTTTTATTGTAGGTCAAACATGGCTGTATAGTAATGTTAACATTTTAAGGGGAAATTAATTAAAATATGTCATAAAGCTACATTATCCATTTTAAAATAATTTTGTAATATTCAATTTTCCCCCCTTTATTCTACTATTTACTTTTGAAAAATAAATATCAGATTCTGGTTCAAGATTATTCAAAATAAAAATCTTAAATTTTTTCCATTTTGATGCATAACAGTTTGCAGGATTTTCAGCTGAATCCCTCAGTGATCGTATCCTTGATGCAAACTGTTGTGCCATTGCAACTGCAGGTAAATGTTAACTAGTTGTTAAAAAATTAAAGGTCACAAGGCTCATCTATCTCCAGTGCCATATATTACAAATCAACTCTCCCTGAATCTGAACCAATAGCCTTGTTTTGAGAATGAAAATGAAAAGAATGGGGCACATTTTTAGAACCAAATTAAAAAATATGCATTGTCATCCTTCTTACCCAGCAACTGGAGTTCTTAGGATTTATTTATATTCCACAGTTAAATATTCAGATAGTTTCTGTAGGTTAGGATGAGATTGGAATAAGCAGCTGATTATCAAGGGTTAAGGATAATGTCAACAGTTTTCTAAGTTGCCCTTGAAAGGAGGTAATTTACTCAACCTTTTCATAAACAGAAATTTTGGAAGTACATGGGTGACCATTAAACAAAGCAAATACCGGTAGTTCCTTTCCATTTATGTCTAAGCTTCTTATTTACTCATCAGCTGAAAATAAATGCTTCTGAAAGATATATACTAGCATCTTGTTGAATTGTATTCTCTTTCTCATGTTTGTTTTGTAGGCAATGTGGTTTGTGGAATAATTACAAAACAAATATAAAGTTATTAAAAATGTACTTAATTATTGCACTGATAAAGAAGGCAATTAGTATATAAGATGTAGATTATTTTTTACATGTAACTGGAACTGGCAAACTTATGAGACCAATGAACCATTGTTTTATGTACATAGATCAAATAATGTTTTTGTCCTGTAATAATTTCTCAGTCACAGCTTCTGTGAATCAATGATAACTCATAAAATTATGGAATAAAAATGAAAGCACCATAAGGAGAATTTAGAAAAAAAATAATGGTTAAAAATACATCTTTCAACAACAGATGGTGTATGGCGAGGATCCAAATTATTGAACCTGAAGTCGATTGTTGATAAAGCTTTAGAGATATGTAAAGAAAAGTAAGTTTCTTATACAAATTTCAGGCAATGCAAATGCTGGATCAGGCCTTTTAAAACACATGTACCTTCTATGTTCACAAATAATAGTACATTTCTTAAGTGATGACATTTTTATAACATTTGTGGGCATAAAAAATTTTGTTTAGGTCACATTTCTTTTACCATATAGGTTCTTAAATATTTTTAAAAAAAATTAATTTTTGAAGGGGATGCTACATTAATTTAATTTCTTAGAGTTATATAAATCAGTTGAATACTTTTCAATTCTAAATGTTACTCTGATAAAAAAAGATATTTTTTCTGTTTTTGACTAATCCAGAGGCAAACCGGTAGCCACTTGTATTGTAGTTCGTCACATGAGTGTACTGTCAGAAGAAGCATCTTCAGATTCTAATAATGTTGGAGAAGCACCAGATGAGTCTCCAGTTGGGAAAAGACCATGTAAAAAACTAAAGGTCAATTTTCTTTGGTGTAAAATTGTAGAATATGCAACATGTCCCACAATTAGCTCTTTGCTTGCTGGCAATCTTCATACTTGGTCTATACCACTAAATTGTGTTTGTTAAATTTAGGTGTAGTCTAGTTATTATTATATAACCTTCATTTCGGAACAATTTTTCACCAGATTAACTGGCAACCTGGCAGAGATCACTGGTGGAGTGACTTAATGAAAACAGCGGACAAAAATTGTGACCCAGAATGGGTGGATGCTGAAGATCCTTTATTTATGCTTTATACCAGGTTTGACACATTCTTGCAGTGCGTTGAATCTTCACCCTTAAAACACAAGTTTTGTGTACATGATAAAACAACTTCCATGGATAACATTAAAAAATGAACTGTTGTTGTCAACTTTAAAAGTAAAGGCTTCATAGCCCAGTCATAAAACTAGCTCTTATAATGTACCTTGCATACTGAAACAAAAATTGATCACCTAAAATTAGAAATGTATTTTTATTATCTGTTTCAGTGGATCGACAGGCAAGCCAAAAGGTGTGCTTCATACTGTAGCTGGTTACATGCTTTATGCTGCAGCCACCACAAAGTATGTTTTTGATCTGCAGCCTGATGACATTTATTGGTGCACAGCTGACATAGGTTGGATCACTGGACACACATATGTCTGCTATGGTCCTCTAGGAAATGGAGTCTCAGGAATTATTGTAAGCTTTTAATTCTTACTTTAAATGATCCATCTTCTGTGTTAAAGAAACAATATGAATTTAATTTACGCTGAAGCTCTTCTTTAAAAAGTGCTTTAATTTCAGTTTGAAGGCACTCCCTTTTATCCAGATGCTGGAAGGTTTTGGGCTGTTATTGAAAAATACAAAGTGACCAAGTTCTACACAGCTCCAACAGCTATCCGTTCTCTCATGAAGTTTGAGGATAACTTTGTTACCAAGTAATATTTTATTACAATGTTTGTTTAGTTCAAGTGTATCAAAGAAAAGTAACATATTTAAAATTAATATCAATATGAAAAAACTGTGATGTGATACATTTTTTTCAGATTTGATCCAATAATTCTTTCTATATTCCAGGTATAACAGGTCATCTTTGAGAATTCTTGGTACTGTTGGAGAGCCAATTAACCCAGAGGCTTGGTTGTGGTACCATCGAGTTGTAGGAAATAGTGAATGTGCAATTGTTGACACCTTCTGGCAAACAGAAACAGTAAGTTTAAATTTAATGTTTATACATTAATAGTGTAGTGGCAATATGTAACAAGAAGAATACCATGGTCCAACTCCAACTGTAAGCGAGTTAGTTATTTGTGGCAGTCAAGTTGTCTTCCACATGTTCCACATGTAATCCAATTCTACCTTACCTTTTATAGGCTTTATCCTTCCTTCATGATTAAATAAAGAGGTAACACTGTGTTTTGAAACACATTAAATTTAATAATGAAATTAAATTTTACAACTGCATTTAATTTCAAATATTTATTTATGATTTGGTAAAAAAATAACAGGGAAAGGAGGGATACTTATAAATATTAAATCTAATAATAAATAATTTGCTTAATTTGAATGGGCCGTTAAAAAGCCAGGTGGGGGGTTAATTTATAATATAAATACATTGATGCATTCATATTAACTTGCTACTTAATGATTATGTGTCAAGAACCACTTATACATTTTTTATGGGAAGATTGCATTTTCATTGCAAGGAATTTTTTTTTCCTTTGATTAATTAATCATTTATTATAAAATATTAACCCCTCACAAATACCTATGTATTGGGATTATAGAGTACAAGCTCTTAGTATATTGTTTATAAAGTTTTTAGGTACATCAATTTCTGAGGTGTGCTTTTAGTGCCGGGGTGACGCAGTGTTGGATACACTGCTGTAGGAGATATGTTTGTGTGACTGTCTGTTAGGTAGCTGTAATTTGTGTGCTCTCAATTTAAAGGGTGGCCATGTGATTACACCACTACCTGCAGCTACCAAGACGAAACCTGGATCAGCTGTAAGTAATGGCCTAAAGTAATATCCAACTTAATTCAGTTTTCTAAATTGTCAAAAGCATCAAGTCAGTATGGTATTTTACAAGATATTGTTGCTGCAAATTTAATGTGTGTTAATATTAATAATCAGGACTGCTTGACCATGACTATTTTACATTGCTAATGCTAATAAATTCTTTAAGCTGCTTGTCCTTGAAATTTTTCAAACTTGTAGAATCTAAAGAAATGAATTAGATTTAAACATTTTTCCATACTTGTCTGTGCACCATTCTGGTCCGCTCTCCGTTCTGCGCATGTCGAAAAGTGATGCAAAATTTTTTGTGGCTCTGCTGTGATATCATCTTTTGCCGTTTTATGTCACATTTTTCTAATAATAAATTAATTTTGTCATCGATTACGTAAATTATTTGTTGTATGGTGACGCTTGTACAATTTACACAATGAGATGACTCCCTCCACTTTCTCTTGCTGTGTCACTTTCGGTAAGCTATAAATTTCTTAAGTACTTTTTTTTATCAAATGCACCACATTGGAACCTAAAGAATCTGTTTATTATCTAAAATGGATCGGTAATAACTTTGGAAAGTCAATTGACTAGTTTCCTTTGAATGCTATCCCTCAGTATGTCCATCACCCCTCAACACCAGACGCAAAAAATACATTTTGCCATTTTTTTATATCGGGAACAGAATTTCTTCTCGATAGCAATTGATAAGAGAGTTTTAATATTCTGTAATCTTCAGATATCTGAATAAATCCTAAATGTACTATTAAAATATAGAAATTGATATGATAAAAAAGTGAATCTAAGCTTGGTTCCACCTACTACTCAGCCTACAGTTTAAAAAACAGTATAGCCTGCCTATATTTTATTTATTATAATGTAGGCCTAATAATATTAGTACAACTACACTTACAGGCCTAATTTAGGTTAGTGTCTTCTAATTTAATAAGGCATTTAATTATAAAATTTAATTAATTGTTTAAGTTAATGTGATATTCCTATACTTGCTGTGTGTCTTTACTATTAGTCTTAAGTCTAGGGCTGTTATATAGGCTATATAATTATACTGTACATTTTTGGAAATATTGATTAATAAAAAAAAAATTGTAAAATTATTGACATAACAGTCTATGAATTGTTTAAAATTAGGTAATATATAAATTGGCCTATACAATTTTTATTGAAAGACAACAAATAAATATTTTAGACTCAACATCATCATAGTAATTATATTTTTATTATGACATAGAAAAACAGTTTACATAGACCAATATTTAATATTTTTAATAACATTTTAAAAAAAGAAATGTATTTTAATAAATAAAAAACTTGAATAATGTTACAAATAAACTAGAATTGTGTATTTTCATGATTATGATTAGATGTTATTTCTGGGCTTCTTTCAGGTAAAAGAGAAAATTTTAATATTCTATTGCTGAACTCAGTGCACACAATTTATGAAGGAGACCTTGTGGTATTTATTAACAAGACAAAGTTTATGAAGGAGAAATTGTAGTATTTACCAACAATACAAGTTTATGAAGGAGATTTAGTGGGATTCATCTACAAGAAAAAGTTTCTAAGGAGAAATTGTAGTATTTATCAACAATACAAAGTTTATGAAGGAGATATAGTGGGATTCATCTACAAGAAAAAGTTTTTAAAGGAGAAATTGTAGTATTTATCAACAATACAAAGTTTATGAAGGAGATTTTGTGGGATTCATCGACAAGAAAAAGTTTATGAAGGAGAAATTATAGTATTTATCAACAATACAAAGTTTATGAAGGAGATATAGTGGGATTCATCTACAAGAAAAAGTTTTTAAAGGAGAAATTGTAGTATTTATCAACAATACAAAGTTTATGAAGGAGATTTTGTGGGATTCATCGACAAGAAAAAGTTTATGAAGGAGAAATTATAGTATTTATCAACAATACAAAGTTTATGAAGGAGATATTGTGGGATTCATCGACCAGAAAAAGTTTTTAAAGGAGAAATTGTAGTATTTATCAAAAAGACAAAATTTATGAACAAGATATTCTGGGATTCATCAACAAGACAAAGTTTATGAAGGAGAAATTGTGAGATTTGTCAAATGCTTAAATTTAATCTAAATACAATAAACAATTTTTTTTAAATTTTGCTTTGGTAGATAACCATTTTTTTCAATTTTTGTTTTCAGAATTTTTTTTAACTTACCCTAAAATATAATTATCCAAAATAAAAAGTATTGATGTTATGTTCCTTGTGTTGCATATTGGATTGAGAATGTCTCCTGAAAATTTGGTACCACCATTATCTTTTAAAAATAAAAATGGTTGTGGGGAAAAATAATACAGAAATGAGGAAAGTTGGTCCCAGTTTTTGTCATTAAATACAAAGATAAATAAGGGGCTTCTCAAAATTCAAAAGAAAATCATCACTTCTAAATAAGATAGAAAATTGAACTTGGTATTTATGCAAAGCTGATAGCAAGCCCTTTAGAATGATGTGTCAAGTATGGCAATCGGATAAGATTTAATATTTCTGTCAAATTCCCTAATTTATACATTCTTTGTTAGACTTTCCCTTTCTTTGGCATTGTGCCTGCCATATTGAGTGATGAAGGAAAAGAAATCACAGGACCAGGTGAAGGTTATTTGGTAAGTTGGCTTCTTTGATTGCTAATTATTTTGAAAAGTTTTTAAAAGTCACCAAGCTGTGTTACACCCATAACTAGACCAAAGTACACTTGCATCTTAGACTGGCTTGACTCACTTAAACCTCTTCTAAATCTCTTTAAACTGCCAACTCATCACTATTTGAACATTTAAGCCCTGCATCTTTTAGATGTTAAAGTTTGTCATGGCTTTTGCTGTTGGAGGCAGATTTGCGTGTTTTATCCTGCCCAACACTGATAAAAAAAAGCAGTGTTAAGATGTAAAAAAAAACTGAAGCTGACTTTAACTATCATTATATTTTTTTATACATTTAAATTACGTTCCAGTTTGGGCAGAAGAAACAAGGAGAAACTAGATAGGGATGGACTTCAATCAAGCTTGTATTGAAGTCTAAATATCATTAGATTAATTCTATAAAACGTTGTTCTGTTCCCAGGTTTTTAAGCAGCCATGGCCAGGAATCATGAGGACTGTCTTTGGTAACCATGAAAGATTTGAGATTACCTACTTCAAGAAATTCCCAGGTTATTACACCACAGGAGATGGTAAGCAACCTTCCTTTAAAAATTTAGATGATATCTAATTCCAATTTCTAAAAGTGATATAGTTATTACTTTGTACCTTTGTAGGAGTTACTATTTTAATTTTTTTTAAATTTCAGGTGCTAAAAGGGATGAAGAGGGTTATCTGTGGATAACTGGGCGCATTGATGATATGGTGAATGTTTCTGGTCACCTTCTTAGCACAGCAGAAGTGGAGTCAGCTCTCCAGGAACATGATGCTGTATCAGAGGCAGCCTCTGTATCACACCCTCATCACATCAAAGGGGAATGCATCTACTGTTTTGTTACACTTAAAGAGGCAAGTCATCTAGTCATCAAATGAAAAGAAACAAATAATTAATAAATATGGCATTGGTCCCTGGTGTAATTTCAAAGCTGGTCACCCAAACTTAATAGTTTGGGAAACATTGATCTAGTTCTCATCCTGTCATTTTAAAATTATTTTTCAACATACTATTAAATCATATAGACTGGAAGATCTTGACCAGCATCAGGAAGTGCGGAAAGATCCAGTATATCTGGTTTATTTGCATTTGTATTAGCATTTTTTATCTTGGAGTGTGCAGAAAATGTCTTAATAATCAAGAGGGCAAGGTGCAGCACTATAAAAGGTTAAGAACTTCAGTTACAGACCATTTTCATTATAATTGAAATATCTGTTTTATTCAAAAATTAAACTACTCCATAAAAGTTGGTGATAATGTAATTGTGTTTTCTTTCCTTTTTTAGGGTGAACTTTTCAATGATGAACTGGTCAAAGAATTGACCGCTGCAGGTAAGAGAAATTAGAAAAATTACCAGCGAACAAATCTAGTACTAATAATAAAATATCTGTTTATTTATAAAAACAAAATTCGTAGGTTCTTTGGCATTTTGTTGTTTTTGAAAATTCCAAATCCTATTGAATACACAATGTAAAATGAAAATGAATTCTGGACTTTTTATCCTTGTGTTTAGTCAACTTGTGAGTAAAACTCACATTTTAATTTTACTTCAAAATATCTCTTGTCTTTGTTTTAATTGAAACAGTGCGGCAAAAAATTGGGCCTTTTGCTCAACCGGACTTTATTCAGAATGCACCAGCACTTCCTAAGACAAGATCTGGGAAGATCATGCGACGTATTTTACGCAAGATTGCTGTCAATGATAGAGATATTGGAGACACCTCAACTCTGGCTGATGAGACAGTCATTGATACACTTTTCAAGCTGAGACCCAAAGACGCATAAACATTTTCATGTTATTAAAGTCTTGAGGCTATCTTGACCACTTTATACAACTTTTCCATGATAACTAGCTGGTATTTAAAAAACTACTTAACTTACATGGTGCCCCTGTCACTAACACTCCACATTTAGCAATGAAATACATGTAGAGATATTATAAATGTATATATTAAAGTAGTCTATAAGATGTTTCTTATATTTTAATATTTTTTACAATTTAAATTTTTCAATTTGTACATGATTTACAAGCTTATATTTAAATCTGATTTAAGTAAATGAGACCTAAGCTCTCTAAGGGATTCTTTTCTTCACATTAAAAGTCTACATTTTACAGTACAATTTAAAAAATAGCCTGTTAATATTTACAAAAAAGTGCATCACTTTTTTTAAAGCTATCATTGAATTGTTGAAACTATTTGAGTCTTTTGTTGAATGGGAACTAGGGCAGCGTTACAGTGCAGATCAATGAAAGTTGTCTTTGAGGTCTGTTTCACATCTAAAATAAAAAAAAACTTTGGATTGGATTAATTAATTAATGTGCAAATAACTTGGTGGAGGAAGTGGATGAATTAATTGTTTATGGCGACGTAAAATACATTCTGTTACACTCAGTTTAATCAACCAGAAATGCAATTATTTATCATAAGAAAAGTAAAACTATTGTAAATTGTAGTCTACTTCAGCAAAGTAGCAATAGTTACAAAGTTATTCTACTTTAATCATGATAATTAGACATGATGTACCATTGGTGTTCTGAAGTTTTCATTGAAATTTCATTTAAATTTAATGTTTCATAAAGATCTTTTTATATTAAATTTGAAACATAAACTTGGCTCAATTATGGAGTATATAATATTAAAGTATTTTTTTTATAAGTTCACTTGTGGGGATATTATTAATATTTTTTTGTTGCTGTCAAATGTGATTGTGAGTTTTATTTTTAATGGTTTTTATTTTACAACTATTTTGGGATTTATTTATGAAAAGAACTTACAAACATTTATTATGTGATTTTTCATTATATTTTTCAAAGAAAAATGGAGTATTATGTATAGTTTAGTTATTAGTATTTTTCATATTACATATTGAAAAAATATAGAATGATATTTTCTTTTACTTTGGCATTGTAAAATCAAAGTTTTGGCTTACAGCTAGATTACTGTTAAGTTGATTTGGAGTCTTCTGGTTAAGTAATGCAAGACCCTGTACTTAAAGATGTTCATCTAGTATGGATTTTACTTACGTTGGATGGTGTTTTTGAACCACTTGAGGTGTTATCAGTACAGGATCTAAGCCATGCAATATTTATGCAAACATCTGAGGTGACAATTTTTATGTATCAAAAATGGTAATAACTTACAGTTAACTATGAAATGTATTTTTATTTTATTAAGAGTTAAATCAAAGTTAAACCCAGAAATGGGACCTGACATTCCTTTTCTATTGATGCAGGGTCTTCAACAATATTCTAAAATATTTTAATTTTACATTCACTGAGGAAAAAAACTCTACCTCCGTAACAGATTAATGTGGCTGTTCTTAGTAATGGACTTACTAAAGCAATAAAAGAATTTTAAGTTTTGTTACTATTTCATCACATCCCCCACCACAAACATGTGCATGCTTTTGCTGTTGGGGATATTAAATATGTTACTTGAAATTTTTGCTTTTCAAGAAGTCTAAAATTTCATGTTGTCATAATTTTCTTGCCATTTATAAGATGTTTTGATTTGGAATGTGTTAAATGAAATCAGACAAGTAATTTGGAAGACCTTGTTTGTGCATGGCTCAGTCGTTGGCTGGCTGTGTGGTTAAATGTGCTTGGCCCAGTCCTTGACTGGCTGTATGGGTAAATGAGTGGCATGGCATCAGTGTATAATTAAACAGTTATCTACAATTTGGTTTTGTGTCAGTGTCAGTTTTTATTTTTAGACTTACTTGGAGTCAATAAACAGCAGTCAACATATGTGTCTCAACAGCATTTATAGCTTTGTGTAAAACAGGGGTCTCCAAACTTTTCAGCCCGAGGGCCGGATTAACTATCAAACAGCAGTTCGAGGGCCGAATGCTCACTCAAGCAGGATTTCTTTCAGCATTGTGGGGGGGGGATTTCTCAAATAATCACTGCACTCGAGGTCCAAATAAAAAAGAATCAAAACATGGATGTGTTTTTAATTATTTATATATCATCTCATTCAGTTAATGGCCTCCAGCTGCAGTTCCTCTGGGCAACTGGCCACATCTGTTTCAATTGGGTTTTGAAAAAGTCTCACTTCTTCTGCCTTTAAATCCAAGTCAGAAAACCGCTGCTGAAAATGCAGCTGGGGGTCTTTGATGATCTCCTATGCAAATGACGTGGGGAACTCCACTGTTGCTTCAGCCATGAAGACCATCCACTGCGACAAGTTGTTGGCCTGTACTTGTTCCAAAAACAAGACGAGTTTGGATCTGAAGGCCTTTAAGAGGTGTATAGATTTTGTGTTATGTTCCTGTCTTCAACAACACTCCTAACGAACACAAGCAGTTGAGAGTTGGAACAGCTGTCAAGCGATTCATCCATTGCAAATAAAAATTGGTGAAACTTGCTTGCATTTTTCGAAATTTGAGTCACAGTGTTTTCACCCATGTCTGCAACACGGCGGGCAAAACCCCCCACTACATGTCATTTCATTGACTGTGAACGAAAGTAGAAAAACTAAGCATCAAATAAGATTTTGCAAAGCAATGATCGGTTAGAAAACATAACGCACTACTGCCCGCCTCTATTTTAATTCGATAAAAACATAACGTCCACGTAAGCGGCGTCTGATCTTGTCAGGATACACGTACTTTTAAGTAATTTTTTATTCTTTTTACAAAAGGTCTCCGCGGGCCGCATGAGAGGGCCGTAGTTTGGAGACCCCTGGTGTAAAAGAAAGATATTTGTGGGAATATTTTGTAAAAAGCAGTTTTTAGTTCTAAGCATTGATTCTCTATTCTGTGAAAACTATTAAAGTTACAGTTTACTTGTTAAGATTAGATTTTGTGCAATTAGTTTCTAATATACATTCAACGGATTAATGATAAAGATGTGAAAAGATATAGTGAATTACAGAAAATTGTCCATTGTTATAAATTAATATATTTTATACTATACTTCATAAATATTTAAAACACATTTGTCAGAGCTTATGGTGTGTGAGGCTAAATATTACAATTTGAGGTAATTACCATTTCCTGATTTAGGTATATGCTTCATATATTAAATTACAATTACATCAGTCTTCAATTATTTAATATTTTCATAAGAAAATGTTGATGGACTACTTGTATTGAGACCAGTGTTCTCCCAAGGGGTGTGGTTATTATACTTAAAGGCAAATGTTATATATGTATGTTTGCAATAAACACTTAATATTTGATATGATGTGATCCAATAATTGAATGGTGTTTTAAATGAGGCAACAATACAGGAAGGAATCCAGTATGCCTCCTGTTCTTAAAATCCTACTTAGGCACATGTTAACAGATTTTGGTCTCATATTAAAAAACTAAAATGTTTAGTTTTGAAGTTATCATCAAGCACATCCTAGATTCGTATCATGAGATAGGTGTTTCAATTTGAGAAGACACTCACCCTGTTCAGGAAACAAACATAAAATTAAAGCCTAGTGCATGTTGATATCCAATTTGACTGGTCACAGGAGCGAACTGCACTGTGACACATATGACTGGAGTGTCTAGTTTGTTATCCCCACAGTTAATATGTAATCGTTAAAAGAAGCAGCTTTAAATTTTAAAGAGCATTTGTAGAGGTTGGGAAAATTTGTTGAGATAATCAGTTACCCTAGGTTTTTTTTAAACAGTATACGATTTACAAATTGCTGTCGTATAAAGTGAAATCAAATAAAGCAGCAAGATATGAAACAACTGGGTGATAAATGAAGTACCTCAGGATGTATGTGAGTTCTACTGTAGCATGTTTCAAATCAACAGAGTAAACTGCAAATAGCAAAGTATTTTAATTATATATTATAGTCGAGGTAAAAGGAAAGGTTGGGGGGGGAGGTTGCTGGAAATTTGTTTGAAAGAAATTTCGCCAAGGGAAATTTGATCGAATGGAAACTCGATCCAACCTTTTTTCAGTTCACATGTTAAAATTTTCCGAATACGGTGGGGGGGGGGTGGGGATGTATGAAGACATCTGTTGTAGCTTGGAGACTACTAATTTAGTTTAGAAAATGTTGCATACATATTTTAGGCTCTTATCTTGTAAACTTATAAGTGCGTTAGTTCAAAATGTGTTGTATATGTAGTTGAATGACCACCAATTACTCAGGTCAAGCAGTCTCAATGTTAGTGTTATATTTATATGATGAATATCCAAATATAATATTTCCAACCATATTACTTTCATCAAGACATTTTTGTATTTGCTTTACATGGTTTACATTCAGATCTAAGGGGAAGTGGTAGAACAATTAGTTGACTATCTCACCAAAGAACGGTAGCCAAACTCTTGATCAAGGTATTTTTCAGCCATCTCTGAATCACTTCCATATAAAAAGTGATGTACTACTGACATCTCAACCGCTTACAATTTTTAAAATAGTATCCTTAAAACTATTACACGAAATCTTAACTAAGAACATTGCTAATTTCCTAAGTGACAACTCTACTTTATTTCCTGGAAATTGTATCTACTATTGGTGCCTAAACCCATGATAAATACCTCAAGTTTTCATTTGATACTTAAAATTTTAAAAACTTAAAGCCTTTAGACCCAATTTGTTCCAATGCAGGCTTCATGTAAAATTTAAAAAAAACAGAATTTAGGATTTTGATTTAAGCCAAGTTTGCATTACTATTGCTGTTGTTCAACCATTATTTGGTTAATAATAGACTAATCATTATGGCCGTGGAGCAAAATTTATTAGGAGATTAATTTTTTTTTAAAGTAATGATATTAAAAAAAATAAGAAAGCCAATTATTCTTCATTTAGCTGGAATTTTAAGGTAGCATCAATTCATTACCTCTGAAACAATCTCATTCTCTCTACTTAACCTGGGTCTGAGATAATTTTTTTTAATAAAAAAAAATTTGACTGCTGATAAATTTTATGTACTCATTTATTAAATAAAAACAGAGGAAAAGAAATACAATATATTCGTCTTTGAGGACAAGTAACAATTCAAGCAGGGTGATTTCAATGGAAAAGTAATATATCTATTCCCAACCAAAGGAGAAGAAAGAAGATTTAGGGAATCTTTTTGTTGGTGTGACTTAAGATTCCAACTGCTTATATTTTTCCCGGTATTCTTGGTCATTTTTTTCAAGGCTGTTTAATATTTCTGCCTCAGCTTGCCAAAGATTATCCTACATATAAATTCTGTTTGTTATTCACCCTTCCCATCATTTCACTCCAAAATTTTGTATGAAATTAAATATCTCTGTTAGAATTAGTCTTAGTTTTTTTTACATAATAGCCCTCATGTTTTTTTTTTAAATATCTAAACTCACTCAGCTAATTTATAAATTTAAATGATTGCTGTTAGGATACATAAGTTTTTCTGTGATATTTTGGTGTAAAATTCATTCCGGGAATCTGGCAAAATCAGCAGTTTTGTACATGTTAATATGCTCCAAATAAAATGCAAGACATTAATTATTTTAGTATATTTATTTAACAAAATCTTAATTAATAATCATGTCGGTGATAAGCTTCAACTTCATTTGACTTACCTGGAGTATATATAATTTAAGTACGGCAACACCTAAGATTTTAAACAAGACTAAAATTATTTGCACAATCTCACAATGCTCATTTTGCACTTAATTGAGTATTGTTAAATTTGATTTTATAAAGCTTTGTTGGTTAAATTCATTCCCCACGGAGATTCCTATGCATTTTTAATGATTTTTTAAAAAGGGAATGTGTTGGTACTGAAATTAATTTTGTGACTCCTTAACTGAATATGCTTTGATCATTTTTGTGTGGTTCCTGACTTGAAATGTAGTAATTTGTTTCTTTAATGCTTTAATTCTAGGGGCAAATAAGGCTGATCACCAATTATATTTTTCATCTTTATTTAATTTTAAATGGTTGCAACTCGGAAGACTTAATCCAATTGACGATTGGCAAATTAAACAAAGTACCATTATGTGTCATTGTTTAACTACCTCAGTATTTGTACATAAACATTTAAATGATTTATTTTGACTCTCCATTTAAGATTAAAAAAGCAAGAATTGTAAGGATTGGCAATTATTAGAATTAACTGGCATAGTGCATACCACAGACTGCTCTCCCAGTGTTAGCAATAATTTTATAAGTTATTTGACCAATAAAATCCCACTTTATAGGGTACGACCACAAAGGAAAAAAATATTTATTTTTGGAGAGAAAAGAGAACAATGGGTTGGTGCATAATATCTCCGCTTTCATGTCATTTGTGGTTGTCATGATTTGGCTAAGTTAACATGGCTCGGATGAAGTCGCCGTGAATTGAGCGTAAAAAATTATTCAGAGTAAAAGTATGAGTTTTATTTTAAAAACTCTGTTATTGGGTCTGTTTTAATTAATCCTACTTAACTTACTGGAATAGAGTTCAGAAACAACAAACATGATTTTTTAACCAACCCAAACTGGTAAAATTAGGCAGCAACCACAAGCAAGCTACTTCGTTTTACAAAAATTTGGATGTATCCTATAGGGATAAGCAATAATCTCATATATATTTTGCTTCTGGTGTGTCCTGCTTCCTCTTCAAAACCAACTCCTTGTTTTAACTCAGTACTGATTTAAAAAAAAGCTTGTCATGCAACGTCATGTATGACCAGTGAGTTATACTGAGGTAAATAATTTAATTTGTTTTTTCTTTAGGGTGAGGCGACTATTATATCCAGTAATCAATAAAGAGCAACAGATCTGGTGTAGGACTATTTAAAGGCGGGCATGTAGGATGTCGGACTGTCTGTAGGCCTGTTGTTGCTCCCCCAAAACGGCTTCCCTTTTGGTGTTTGAATTTATAAATTTACATGTTTACAGTAATTTACTTTAGTTCTTAGAATTTTTTTTTTTTTGAGGGGTAAGAAAATTTGTAAATGACAGCTACAATCCTGCATTTGACTTAATAGTAAAACTTAGCATGAACTGTTTACAAGGTGTTATTACTATACATGGTGCTGCTTTTTAAGTCCTCAGTATATGCAAAAAAAAACTTTTTTTCTACATAAAAAAATTATTAATTTTTATACACATGTATTCATGTACCCTCCCATTCAGGAGACTGATACTGGAGAGATTAGTCCAAAATGGATACTAAGTTATTTTATTGGATATGTTTTGGTGCTGCCCTCAATATATGATCATAACATTTATAGTAAAATAGATTATCTCTGCCTTAATTTTTTTTATTTATTTTAATGGCTTGTGCTTGAGGTTTATTAAACATGGAGATTAATTAACAGTTCACTAGATTTTTAACAAAACTCATGAAGTTTTCTAAATTACTGATTTTATCGGCTAAGCCATGCACTTGTACACACCCGGGGGCAGAGGGTTCCACATGTCTTCTTCTTCTTATACTTGAGGTGCCCACGATCAATTTGTTGATCATTCTGGCTCCTGGTTTTAAAATCAGAGTTTGCCTTCTCTTAGATGGGTTGCCGTCCAAGGCTAGCGAGTGAAATAACTTACATTTGGCATCAAACTTCATCTTACTTGACCGGTTATTTTTAATGAAATGAATTAGCAATTTTTAATTTAATTTTCAACTGGATTACATTTGTTTGCATGCAAATAAATTTTGTTACCATTATTTTTATCATAAAAAATATTGATTTATAAAATAATTCTTTACTTTAATTTTACTTGTCAATTATTTGGAGCTACCAGCACTAAACAATTTTCTAACATAATGACTTGTGTGAAGATAAAGCTCAGAGTT